AGATATGAAGCTTTCAAAAAATGCATGCTTTATACGCTATCTATGGAAAACGGCTTATACATTGAAAGCTTCATATCTCGGAGAGACTTTGTCCAAAAGTTCTGAAATTTTTTATGCAAACCAGTCTAGTTGAGGTGTTTATGTGGGCAAAGTTTCAGATCAAAATTCAAAAATATGGCCTTGCTGCAAATGTGGGGTCTAATAGGAAAAATTCACTAAAGCCTCGATATCTCACTAGGAACAAGCTAGGGGCACGAACTTTTTTTACGGTAGACATAATTCATCAAGACCTACAAGATGCGCAAAGTCCCGACTCAAAAGCGTTCCAACACCTGGGAATGTTCCCTCGTAAGTAGTCTAAAAGAAAAAAGAAAGATAATCTAATGTACACTATACTGTTAGTCATTCTACAATTATTTATTAAAATATACGGACAGTATTTAAAATGAATTTTTGCGTTAAAAAAATCGATTTGAACCAAAACAATATGAGAATGTTGCCAATACTAAATTATTAGCTATGTTGCTCGAGGCATTTTTGCAACATGACAATATTTTTTCACTGAATGGTTTTGTTTAATATTTTTTACATTTTTTTAATAACAAAGAATACGTTGGATTCAAGAACTGTTCTATTTTTTGAATTTTCAAAAGTAATGTTTTATTTACTATTTTAGATGATGATGAAGTAGTGGTCAATTTTACATTTATTTTCATTGAGACGAAGTCGGCAATTATTACAAATTGTAATAAAAATTGTAGTGAAAGATTTTTTTCTAATGAATTTGACACTAGCCTAAGGTCATCTTCTTGCAAAGAGAAAACATTTGATAAATACACAATGGATTCTTTCTTTTTATCTACAGTTAGATATGTCCTCGACATAGAATTTGTTTATTCAACTTGGGTGTGGATGTAGATGTACCTTTTCTGTTCATCCACACCCACTAGCCGAGACCTAGATTCATACCCTTCATCATGAAAAAAAAAAGACTAAATCTTGTAGTGAAACTCTGTAGATGAACACTGTTGCTTCAATCTCGATATTTTGATGTTCATATTATTACGTTAAAAAATAACAGCTTTCAATGAATCTGTGTAGAAATAAATAATGAAAGCTCGCGACGAATCACTGTAAAATTCTAGCTCACATTTTGAAATCTATAAATGTGATGAATTAAAAAAACTTGCATCGTGTGTTAAAAGATAAACACTGCATTTGCATAAGTCTATTAATTTGATGAAACGATAAACAAATGTTTAAGGGCATTTCCTTTTGTCACTCTAATTTTTTTTTAAGGCTATTGCATAGCTTCAATTAGTATCTGTCTGCTGAGTATATTTTGATGACGAAAAATTGTCTTTAAAGGTTGAAAAATTCGAGAAGAAATCAAATTTACACAACGAAAATGGCGAAAACTTTACACTGTTTCGTATTTTTCTCAAAATAATTTTTTCATGAAAAAAAAAGTATAGAAACATTCCCGTTTCTCCGTTGTGGTACGTCTGATCGAGCTGAAACTTTTTTCGCATATACTAAACACTATTGGGGATAAGGTTTTTCTTTTCTTATTTCAAAAAATATTGTTTTGTTGAGTTTTGGTAGCTCTTACAAAGCTTCTATTCAAGAAAAATACGTTTTTTAGGATACCTTCGATATTCTGCCTTTTTCATTCGAAGAACAAAAATTTAAAAAAACATTCCAAACAGTGTCTAGCACTTGTATAGCATCTTAGAGAAACGGGGACAAAAGTTAGAACCATTGTGATCCCAGTATCTTATAGAAGATAGCATCTGGGAATGTTGAATCTATGACAATTTTTTGCTCTACTCATACAGACGTAACTGTTCTAAATATTTCAAAATCTTCTGATGGGCCTTCTTCAGAAACTCCGACATGGGAGAAGACGGAGTACCCTTAAAGCTATTCTTGTCTACGATACTTTATTTTAAGGTAAGCTTCACCCTATTCAAACCTCGTGGCTCCGCTGTCTATGATAATAAATCGGCAAAAATCATTAAGAACAGATCCTTATATATCTATTCTCATCGATGTTGTTGATATATCGCTGATACAAATGTTTCATATTTTATTATAGTTCATGCAATATAATGTCTTTCTACTGATCAATAGAACGGTGCTCGGTCTCGACCATCCTTGATTATGTCATTATATTTTATGAATAATTGCATGTCTCCATCATGTACAACTAATATTCACCTTGTTTTGACGTATCAATCAATGAAAAAGTTTCGTAGATAATCTATTTCAAGTGCAATTTATATTTATTGTAGAAAAAAAAATAATTCAATTACGAATGAATAATAGATAAGAGAAAAAAAAAGAAGTAATTATGAACATAAGAATTAGACAAATCATACCAAAGAAAATTCACACGAATCAAAACACAACAACAAAAACAGCAACTGTATGTATCCTTTCATTGAAGTATGATATATATATATATATATGTATATAAAATGGTTATTGAATGGTTCTCTTGTATAAATAAATCAATAAGACAAAAAAAAAAAAGAAAAGAAAAGAAGAAAGGAAAATAATGGTAGATTTTGATAGACCAATCGAAAAACTAGTCTAACATATTGTTGTGCTTCTTCATATTATAAATTATACTAATTCGAAGAAGACAAATAAAAATGAATCTCAAGATATAAATGAGGTCTTTGGCTTTTATCAAATCGCCTTGTGAACGAAATGAATATAAATTATTCCTGAGTGAAAGAAAAACAAAAACAACGGAGAAATAATTGATCTGCAATAGTCGTACAGATCACGATGCACACACATAGAAGAATCATTCAAATGAAGTTCATTCACATATCGTTACAATACCATTAAAAAACAATAAGAAACCATCTGACATGTACCATATACACTTTTAAATTTCAATATCGATTATATAAATTTTATTTACTGATGATAATTATTAAAATTGTACAATCGAGATGATGGTTGTGAGCGTTGTTCTAGACCACCATGATCTGATAGTGGTGAATCATTATCATCATCATCATCATCATCACTATAATGTCTATGATAGACAAATAGAGAAGAAGAAAAAAAACAAGAACTCTTTATCTTATATTTAATTTGAAAATTCTTTTGTTTTTTTTCTTACCCTTGAGTTAATTCATTTCTTTTTTTAGCTGCATTTTTTTGTTTAACTTGTTTAACTGATGTTCGATTACGTTGAACTATTTGAGATTGATCATTTAAACGATTTTGATATACAATCATATTTTGTGTTGAATCATAACCTGGATTTGGACTAATTGAATAAGGTGTTTCATAATCATCTATTATTCCTGATGATGATAATGATTTTGATGGTCGTATTGGTGTTGACATAACAAGATTAGTTAATGATGATGATGTCCAATTTTGTTTATTATTATTATCAATATTAGATGTTGATTGTTGTTCATATGGTATATGTTGAAAACCTGTTGATGTATAACGTGTTGAATATTCATTTGGATTCTTTGATAATTCTTTTCGACGATTTTTTGTTGATATTGGTTTCGAAAATTTATATGTTGGATCATTTGTTTGTATATCAAGATTATTATATAGTGCATCAATTTGATCGATTGTATCATTAAAACCAATTGAATTATTTGATGGTTGAGAATAATTATTAACTATTTCATTAACTTGATCAAAATGATATAATTGTTTAGGATGATTATGTGATGAATATGTTTGATTAGGACTATTAGATTGTTCATCACTTGAATAATTTGTATTAAGACCTTGATAACGAAATTCATCAGAACTAAAATAACCAGATGAACGATTTAATGAACGATCTGATGCATGAAAATCACTATTAATTGTAACCATATTTCCTGGTCGTGCAACAACATTTTGTATTGATACACGACCATCTTTTGATGTTGTTACAATAGCACGTGAACTTTGATCAAGTGAAACAACAGTAGGTTGTCGTGGTTGTTGAGGTGGACGTTTTTCAATTTCAATTTCAAAATCTAAATTCGAATTTAATAAATTACCAAGACTACTAGAATGATATCTTGTTGGAGGATGATATGTTAATTTTGAACTAGAAGGAGAATATGATCGTTGCTGTTGCTGTTGTTGTTGTTGTTGTTGTTGGTTTTGTTCGTGTAAAGATACATGATAGGATGAAGAACGTGTTGGAAAACTTATGGCAGAAGAATGGTCATGTTTAGTTCCACCAGGACCTGGAATAAATAAAAGAAAACATAAACTGAGTTTTATAAAAACAATCTTTGTTTTTATAAAAAGAAAAAGAAAAACATAATTAGTAACATTCCCAAAAGCTTCAAGAGTATGAGAAAATATTTTTAATTGACTTGCATGAAAGAAGAAAGTGACACAAGAAAATAAAAAAACACAAACCTAAACTTGCTAGAATAATAAAAGAATAAATAAAACCAACAGAAAAGAAATTCAAAGAATGTTGGTTTTTTTTTGGCCTTAACTTACCAATTCGTGATTGATTTTGTCGTTGTTTATATTGTTGACTAATCGATGGTGGAAGATAACTTGTTGCATGAACACGTTGATAATGCAATTTTGAACGTGCTTCATCTTGTTTTATTTTTTCATTAAGTTCAGGTTCACTTATACCATGACGTATTGTTGTTGTTAAAGAACTTGTTTTTGTATTAATATCATTTGTACGTTCAGGTACACGAACAATTGCAACCATTTCATTTGGTGAATGTTTACCAAATGTAATTTGATTTTTTGGACTTAATGATGTTATTTCCATAGTATGTGTACTAATATTATTTGTTCGTGTTGACGGA